TTGATATGGTGGTATGCAAATGTTCAAACTCCCTGGTCAATCAGTATGTTAAATAGACAAGTCTCTACAAATCTGAATGTGCTTTTATTTACTTGCGGCTATTTAAATATTCAAAAGGTAACAATGAATATGTAGATACAGTTTGTATATTCTTTCAGCCTGAAGAACTCATGATAAGGTAACAGCATACCTGGAATGAAGTAACTATCTTTCTATTCTTGCTTTTGAAATGTTTTAACTTTTTTTTTTAAACTCTTCTAGAACAGACATACTTTTCAGTCTCTTTTTATGCATTACATGTTTGAGACTACCCTAGAAATTTTCAATAATATTCAAGGCTGGGGATTGTAAAGACATTCCCAGTTCTTTTTTTTTTCCAGCTTCAGTTTCTCCACTGACTATGGGACGTTAGCTTTTAGGATAAATTGAATCCATTCTTCTTCCTACCTCACAATATTTCGTATGTCACTGTATGCCACACAACCCCAAAAAATATTTGAGCTGTGTTTAACATTTGGCAAGCTATTCTTACCTTCAAATGTTTCACCCTTTTTTTTTCTCCAAATTTATTATATTTGATTGTGGCTGAACTGTTCAATCATTTCATTTGTCCAAAGTACTTTGTTCCAAAATGTTTTAAGTATATCAAGCATATTTTCTTCTGCAAAAATGACAATTTGACATAAGAAAAGATTTCCTTCAGATACATTTCCTATGCATATCGTTGTTCTATAGTGATCCTGTAGACCAGAGGTCCCCAACTTTTTGGCCCCAGGGACCAGTTCTGTGGAGAAAGGTTTTTCCAGAGACCGGAGAGTGCATGGTTTTGTGTGCTGCCTGCATCCCACTGATGGGGCTTTGTTTGTGCGGCCTGGTTGCTGGTATGCTGCAGCCCAGTACCGATCCACAGACTGGGGGTTGGGGACTCGTGCTGTAGACATCTACTCTAATGTCTGCTAAACTTTTCAGCAGATCGCTTGCAGTGACATAGGGGTCAGTTTGGCAAAATAGACTGGTTTTCAATTCTAGTGGAAATTTTTCTTCCTATTCTGCTTTCATTTTAAGAGCTTCATGTAACTCCCGTGTCTTAGCAATGTTTTTCATAGTTGAAATTGCTAGCTGGAAGTTGAGAATATTTGTTAACCAGGGAGTTGTCTTCTTTTGGTTAACTATAGGCCTAACAAGTTAATCATCTTTCTCAGCCTCCCTTATTATTAACTGTATAACCATAAGAACAAAGTAGTTCTAAATCAAAATCACAAAAACCACGTCTCCCTTATTTTGACCATGTCACGCGGAGGAATTTACTGGAGAAAGCACTTAGGTGACTCACAAATTATATGCATGAAGATATTATATTTAATTCTGTTCCATCTTGAGGTTGTATCAGCTTCTGTTCTAACACAGTAGTGATTTATTGAAACATACACTGTGATCAAGACTACCTGAACATTTGCATGCAACTGTATCGTTTGGTTTTATTCTCATTGCAGCTTTTGATACCTACATGAAGACATTTACTAGACCTAATATTAATATTTATTTGAAAATCTTGAATTCAGAAGAGAAAGGTTTTAGATTTTACATTATAGGAACAAGCATCCAATTAATGTTTTCTGTATCTCAGTTATTATTTCTATAACTCTATAACATAAGAATAGATAATCTGGGTCTCATGAACACCAATGGGCTCATTGGCATCCTTCTTGCTGGCAACCAGATTTCCTTCCCTTGCTTGTTTAATTTTTTAGTATTCTAGGGTATTTTTTTTAAAGTAAAGCTGTTATGTACAAGACTAACCCTGTACTCCACAAAGGCAGTTAGTCAACTGCGGCCCGGGGTTGGGGATCCCTGGACTAGAAGACTTCTGAAGTCTCTTCCAACTATATTATTCTATATTCTGTGTTCTAATACCATTTTATAATTGATTTTTTTTGCCTCTCTCTTTTTGGAGATCTCATCAACTCCCTCCAGCCACTTTATTCTTCCTCATATAGTTGCTTTGTATTTCATTCTTATTCTTTCTCCTTAGATGACCAAACTATCTCAAGGCATTTACTATATTTTGTACTGGTTCAACATTCATTCATCACCCCTTCATTCTTGCAGGGGTGACTCTATCTCCCCTTGTTTTATCATAGACACTTAAGTACCCAATTCCCACTGCATTCATTCTAATGTTTCTCCTACAAGGCTCAAATATCCGTTCCACATAACAAATCACTTAAGAGTGAAATACTGAAAAAATAATCAAATGGGAAATAAGCCTGAATTGAATCTGAATATGCTCATACACATCATGCTATGAAGGATTAAATGCTGTAAGCCATCAAATTAAACTTCAGAATATCAGCTTATTAACACTTTCCATGTACGGGAATTAAATTTAGCTGGAATGGTGTTGATGTATAAAAAGGATCTAAACTTGATTAAAGTTTCTAGTCATAGTTATCTAATCCACAGATAAATCAAAAGCATATTCAAAACACTTATGGAGAACATCAGGGTAATGTTTACTAGAGCCATAGTAACAAATGCAATATAGTTAATAAAATATTTAATCACAAGTATTAAAAAATATCCTTCTGGCTCAGTTATTTCTCATTCTGCCACAAATTTTGGTGACTCTTAATCTAAATTATTCTATCTCACACAGATTTTTAATTTTCACTAATATAATACTTGATATATACTTGTTCTTCTAATTTAGAATGGAAATCTTTTTTGTGTAGGAAACATATAAACTCCTCATAAAACCAATTAAGTTCAATTTTTAAATTGCCTAATTTAGTAGGCATCTGTGTCCACAGTAGGAGATCTAATATCTGAAAGTAAAAGCCTTTTACTTTCTACAAAATGACTAAAGATGATACAAATAGAAAAACTGCATATTAACAAAACAATATTTGAAAAATTAAAAAGAATGTTCGTTTAACTGAGACATTTTCAAAACCAAAAAAGTTGAAAAGCAAGAAATAAAAAACCCCAACAAAGAAATAAGAGATTTGTAAAGAAAAATAGAAAGCAACATTTAAAAATGGGAGGATAGAAACTATTACTACTAGGGACTTCCGGCTGAGTTACATTAAAAATACAATACAATAAAAATACAATAGAACACGTCTATACAGTCAAGGGAGAGTCCCATGTCTCTCTAAAAAATATGGCCTTAAAATGAAATTCTGAAAAAGACTGCTACTTCTTTGCTGCAGGTGATCCCAGAATAATATTTTTTTCTATACCTTTTAGATCAGAAAGTTTATTTGGACTAATTATTTAAATTCTAAATCTGGGCTCTGAAAGAATTCTTCTTCCAGAGGTTATGCAAGCTCCATCATTGGAGGTTTTTAAGAAGAGACTAGACAGCAATTTGTTCGGAATGATAGGGTCTTCTGCTTGGACAGGAAATTGGACTAGACGACCTCCAAGGTCCCTTCCCGCTTTGTTATTCTGTATTCTGTATTCTGCAAACTGTATCAGCTTGCATTTTGAATAAGATCTAATGCAGTGGTTCTCAACCTTTTTAATGCCGCGACCCCCAACCGGTCGTAAGTCGAGGACTAAACCGGTCGTAAGTCGAAGACTAAACCGGTCGTAAGTCGAGGACTACCCAACCGGTCGTAAGCCGAGGACTTTCCCTGCCTGGGAGCACCGCGCATGCGTGGTTCCTCCCCCTGCGCCGGCCGAGGCGTAGCTGGCAAGCGGCAGAGACGGAGCAGGCCGACCACCAGCTGGCCCAGCCCAAGGGAGGTAAGGCACCCGCCGGAAAAGGGGAAAAAATGGCGGACAGCCTTGCTTGGCGACCCCCATGAAATGGTCGATCGACCCCAAATGGGGTTGCGACCCATAGGTTGAGAACCGCTGATCTAATGCTCACATATTAATACCAATACTTTGCCAGAGTGCTTCCAGGTATACAGTAGTTCAAAGTTCCAGTTTAAGAATGGCTTTAACTTTTGAAGCCCCTTAGCATTTGGGTACCTACCCAGCCACTGACTTCAAGTAGTTCTTACTGATCTAGTAACATAAGGATGCTTAAAGTTCCTCCCCCATATGAGGTGTGAAATCCAGAAGAAATGTCTGTTGTTTTAATCAATGAACCACCTCCCACTAAAAATCCAGATAGCTTTATCACCACCAAGGTTTTAAGAAGCTTTAAAAACTGAGTGGCTGAGAAGGGCATTTATTTAAGACCTGTCATCAATATGTCTTTTATTGTTGTAGATACAGAAATAAGTGGTAGAGTTTGACAGTTTAAAAAAATTATTATTGTTGTTATATTTCTATATTACTATTGCCTTTTTGATTTACTATAGACTGGAAGGGTGCTTGTGAGTGTAAATACATAAATATTTGACGGGCAGTGATGCTGCCATAAAATATGGAAAATTATCTTGTTTCATATATCAAACATCTGACTTCTTGCCCCTGGAAGTTCAAGCAATCCCTTTCCCCTTGATAATTTGTACAGCTGTTAAAACAATACCATTCCACCATGCTTTTGCAAAAGATCAAAGGTTTCTACTGGCCATTTAGATGATTTCTATTATTTGTATGTCTTTCTTTTATTCTGCATTTTTATTCCGTTTGTCCACAACCTTGATTGTGTTGGCTTACAAAAGAGGTGAAATAATCAATTTGCTCCAACTCTTTTACTGGCAATCTCTTAATTTATGAGTACAAAGTTCATAATCCAAGGCTGTTTGAACTTTCACCAGTCAATATGCAAAGTACATGCTTCCCCCTCCCTTTATTTCAGTTGTTTTGCATTTCTTTTAGTAATCCTCAGAACAACTATCGGGAATTCTAAAATGCTTTTTAAGAAATTAATTATGAATTCACCTTGGCTATTTGGGCTGCAAAAACTCAGAATTTTGATGACAGCAAAGAGCAGGGGGAAAAACCCTAACACTTTGGGGTTGCCTGATGGTCATCTGGAGTTTTACAACTACAACTACAAATAGATTCAGAATAGGAAAAACAAAATTTAAAAGGCATACTTGAGGACACCCAGTGGATCCACATCATTCTCTTCCTCTTCTGTTTCCTTTTTGGCATCCTGGCTTCTAAATGAACTTAACTGAGAAATGACATCAGGTATTTTTTCCTCTTTGAAAAAATCAAATCCTTCGGTTTCGTCATCCTCTTCTTCCTTCTTGGGAAGATTTTTACTCTTGACATCAATGACACTAGTGGATCTGGTTCCTGTAAAAAGAGGCAGAGAAAAATTAATGCAGCAGTGCACAATAGACAGCTATTGTTTCTCTAGATGAGTATCACCAACAGCTAACCAGTATTCTTATACTGCAAGAAAATGGGCCTTTTTATGGGAGAAACAGTACATTTCTACACTATATAAATAATTTATGGCAATAAATATATTTTACTTAGGGAACTTTTGCACCATAGTTTTCTATTACCAAATCCCCCAGAAAACAATTTGAAACTAACATTCTCACATCCAGATAACATATTTCTGTGTATTTGTAGTATTATATTTGTAGGGAAGCAAACCAAAAGTATCCTCCATTAGTTATTTGTGACAATGAGAATTTAATCTAGATTTTAAGTGGAAACATTTTGCTGATTTTGCAAAGTTCCAAGAGTTGATCCATTTATTAAAATTCCACTCAGTGTGAAGAACTTGTTTTAATTTACCCAGAAATTCCAGTAACTCAGGGCTTGATGCAAGAGCCACATCTTTAGAAATCAATCCCATAATCTCATTGAAGGCAGCTCTGCGTTCTCGAATATCAGATTCTCCAACAAAAAGCACTTTTCTTGGCAAGGGGGGTAGAGAGGTTTGTGGATAACGTGTGACAAGTTTTTGATAAAACTCATCAATATCACTGTACTTCTTAGAAACCTGTAATGTAGGAAGAAAAATATTCATTTTTTTAAGTGACGGGCATAAACATGTAACAGATCAGACTAACAATTCTGAAAAAAAATTACAATATTTTCCACACATCATATATGGGCAACTACCTTAGGCCAGGAATAAGTAGGGTCAATATTTTCAGTTTTTATTTTAGTGACTTTGAGTAAACTACATAAATGGGTTAAACCTCCCAGAAGTTTAATAGATCTCTTTTAAAGTTTGTATTTTAAATATATACACAACTAAAGGTCCCAATTTATTGCCAATCGTGAGTGATGCTGTGGGTGACAAAAATACTATAGCTCTGTGCCACTTCCTGTAGATTTCCATTCTTACAGTACGTGAACTTGGTGATTTCAGCATACTGGACTATTAATATTCTCAAAATGATTGTATCATCTAGAGCAGGGGTCCCCAACCTCCGGTCCGTGGACCGGTACTGGGCCACGGCATGCCAGCAACCGGTCTGCACAAACAAGCAAAGCCCAATCTGCAGGATGCAGGCAGTACATGAAACCACACCCCCTCTGATCCACAGAAAAATCTCTCTCCACGTAACTGGTCCCTGGTGCCCAAAAGGTTGGGGACCTCTGATCTAGAGGAAAGGCTTGGGAGAAATGGGTCTTTGGTAGCCATCTAAAAGATCTAATAGATGCTTCCAAATATTGATGATGAGATGGAGAAATTATTCTAAATATTGGTGACATCAGGTTATAATAATTCCAAAGAATAGACACTATTATAGTCCACTTGCAACTTACAGTAAGATGATACTCTGAAAGAACATAATCATATTTATGCCTCTGTGAGTTCTGGCAAGTATCAGGGCAGTGATCAGATGCCCAAGCAATTGGTTGTTTGGGATCCAGAGACAAAGAACATACTAGTGAATACAGGAGTTTTAAGCTGTATTGTTAGCTTGAGCAACAGATTTAAAACCAAGCATGAAAAACAAGCTGGTTAGTTGAAAATGAGTTCTAAATTTGTAGATTTTTTTAGTATGAGGGAGAAATCAAAATATGTCCCAAAACTACTTGAAATATCCAAAATCTTATTTTTTTCAAGTGCTAAGACCCATGGCACATGCCAGACAGAATTAATCTGGTATCATCAGATGGACTAATATTTTCAGTCTCCCGCCTTTTTTTTAAATTGGAGAATTTGCTTATTTTTTTAAAAAAAAAAATGATATCAGGGGCAAAACAGATTTATTACTATTTAAAACATTACAGATTTAATTAAAACATATTCACCAGCCTTTCCATGGAACCTTGCTGGCAAAATCATGGGGGTCTCTGTGAGCTGCAATAGAGGGGAAGAAGTTAAGGGATCATGTGGGCTACCTATCCTTGCCACAAAAGACGGGTGATTCCCCCATTAAGCATCTTTTGGGCCCAGGAAGGAGAATAAAATACGACTGATTACAGGCTCTGCATAGATTTTTAGGTGGGGAATATGCTCGACAAAGAGTCTTGCAAGACAACACTAATTCCATCTAATATGACACGCTAAGAGCCACAGTCAAGAGTAAAAGGAAGGGAAAAAAAGAATGATACAAAAGACTATCATAAATAAATATTTTGCTTCTGACAGTGAGTGGTCAGTCAGATTTTTCAGAATTCAAAAAAGCTAAGACAAACTTCCTCCATTCCTATCCCCAGTTGCCTTGGCAAGGGAGAAGCAGAAGGAAAAGAAGGAAAGGATAGGGTGGTACATTCCTACGTGCACATGTTGCAGATTAAGGAGAGAAAAAAAAGCTACTGCCCAAAAGGCCATTTTTGCCTCCATGACTAAAACATGGCTTCATAAATAATTTGCAGAATGGAATGGAAGGGGTTATTTATCACTTTCGCTGGTTGCAGCAAACTTCAAGAGTTTTGCCTTAACTTACATTACAAAGTTGTTTTGACAGATTAAGCCCTGAGTCTGTTCCATCAGGATTATGTTCAAGTGTGATAAATATAAACTCCAGCATTTGGGTAGGATAAATCAAATGCATAGGTACAGAACTATAGAGGTATGGTTTGGTAAGTAGTGTATGTAAGAAATATCACCAGGTGAACATGGGCAAGCATATATAATACAAGAGCTGAAAAGGTGAGTGCATAGAAACATGGGCACACTGCATCCATTACAGGAGGTAGTAGTTTTATTGTACTGTTAGAAAGGCCTGTCTTGGAGTCTTGTACTTAGTTTGGGGGAACTGCACTTTAAAATAGAAATGGAGTGGGTTCAGAGAACAACTAGGATAAGGGTTCTGGAAGCCATCCTCTATAAAGGAACAATTATATCAGGCACATTTAGATTGCAAAAGGGAAGATTAGAAGGAGATATGACAGCAGTCTACACATATCTGAGATAATAATAATAGTAAAGTTGGAAGGGACTTTGGAGGTCATCTAGTCCAACCCCCTGCTCAGGCAGGAAACCCTATACCATTTCGGACAAATGGCTGTCCAGTCTCTTCTTAAAAACCTCCAGTGTTGGAGCATTCACCGCTTCTGGAGGCAGGTTGTTCCACTGGTTAATTGTTCTAACTGTCAGGAAGTTTCTCCTTAGTTCTAGGTTGCTTCTTTCCTTGATTAGTTTCCATCCATTGCTTCTTGTCCTGCCTTCAGGTGCCTTGGAGAATAGCTTGACTCCCTCTTCTTTGTGGCAGCCCCTGAGATATTGGAACACTGCTATCATGTCCCCCCTCGTCCTTCTCTTCATTAAACTAGACATACCCAATTCCAGCAGCCGTTCCTTATATGCTTTAGCCTCCAGTCCCCTAATCATATGATATCTAAAAGATATCATATTCATAAAGGGGGGGGGGCGACCTGTTCTCTGCTGAAAGTAAGCAGGATAAAGACCAATGGTTTAAAATCTTTTCAAACAGAAGGATTCAGGCTGAATACTGAGGAATTTCCTGATAGTAAGAAGTGTTAAGCAGTAGAACTGCCTTTCAAAAGCAGTGGTGAGCACTGGAAGAGAGCTGGATGGTATTTCCTTGAGATGGTTTTATGGATTCCTACACTGAACAAGGAATTGGACCAGAGGCCCTAGCTAGCCCAGTCTTTCTCGATTTTTTTTCTCCTGGAGGAGCTCTTGAAATAATTTTCAAGTCTCAGGGAGCCCCCTACAATACATAAAAATCATTATATCTACAGCTCACAGAACATTTACAGGATAAGTAAGCAGAGTCACGGTGAGTAAAAATTCCCACCACTGCAAATTTTAGCTCTCTGTGGCACACAAAGTAAAAAGAACAATGCTTTTTTTAAAAAAAAAATAAATCATGATCTGTGAAATCCTAGGGTTCTGCAGAACCCCGTTGAGAGAGGCTGTTTAAGAAGGTCTCCTTAAGCTAAGACATTGTTTGATTGTACTGCCTCTTTCTGGAGTTGTGATCTGTTACAACTATTAACTCCAGCAATGTTCATAAAGAATACTCTGAATAAAGAGCATACACTTTTTATAAGGCTCCATTGTCCATTGATAATTTACAAGCTAACTGAAGGAGAACAGCCATTTTGTAGCTAAAAGGCAACTAAACAAGACTGAAGGCAAAGACAGAGCAGTATTTTAAACATTGTATTGAGCCATATTGTGTCCAATAGCTTAGAACAGCATTCATCTCATCAGAGAAAAAAGAACAAACGTCCAGTCTTTGTTTCAAACATTGAACTGTAGCTTGTTTGCCAAATTAAAACTTATTCTATAACATTATAAAAAACCCCTTTTACCTTCTGTTATAGAATAAACTTAAGTTACATACAAACGTAGGAAACCCTTTGGTTTCAAATGAGAGTGAAATGTTACCCAACTGTCAGAGAAAGGTCAAGGATTCTGTCTAGCATGAAATCATTACTTCAGATTTCAAACTGCCATCCTGCCATCAGGACTAGAGTTTCAACAGTGTTTGAGTGCCCTCTAGTGGAACTGGCCATGTTATCCCAATCAAAAGAATGGAAATCTGATTTTCTTCATTTTGCTACAGAAAATCCATGTCTTTCAAATTCTTATCAAAACAGCTGAATGAAATAGCCTCGCAGAAGGTGCTTATGGTCTGAGTGGTGTTTCTCAAGCTGTGTAAACCTGGAAGCCATGACACTACTCTGCAGTGTTGCGTTGTACTTTACATTTTGGGATCTTGCACTACTACTGAAATAGCACTTTGTGAAGTCCTTCCTCAGTTCTGGTTATCTAGAACAGTGTAACAAATATTTCTCCAATTAAAATAAACCCAAACTCATATTGTTCATTAATTGGCTTAGGGAAGCACACAACAAAATGCATACAACAGCATACAACAAAAAGCAATACATAAAACGCAACCCCGAAGGCTCCAGCATCAAAGACTCAACAGTATTAACCCATCAAAGAGCTTTGAAAGCCTTGCTTTTTTTCCCCAAGCTGTGGCTTAGGCAGAGGTGTGTATCCATCTGAATAGGATTGTGTTTAATAAAGTTGTAGTATGATTGTTTCTCAAGATTATGGCCCTCTTTTATTTTCTTTACTAATGTAATCTATGCAGGTTTTGTTTTAATATGTACAAATTTATAATTTAAATTTATAAAACAGTTCAGTTGGGCAATCTTATAAATTTAAATTATTAATCTGACCAGCAGTTTACCGGATACAGTGGGATTCAGTGCAGACCACAAGAAGATTTCACTTCAAAAGGTCTCACTTATTTCCAGGACTGCTTTTCAAAAAGATTATGATGGGCCACTGATTTCTCAACCCTGACAACCTAATGCAAAGAAAAGAATACTTTCAGAGGAATTAATAAATGATTTGAGAAGAGGGCTGGGAACCTATGGCAACTGTTGGAAAATTATCAACAAATACTGAATACAGAGAATAGAATAGAACAGAGTTGGAAGGGACCCTGGAGATCTTGTAGTCCAACCCCCTGCTCAGGCAGGAAACCCTATACCAGGGGTCCCCAACCTCTGTGGACCAGTACCGGGCTGCAGCATGCCAGCAACCAGTCCACACAAACAAAGCCCGATCCATGGGATGCAAGTAGCATGCAAAACCACACCCCTTCCGGTACACGGAAAAACCTCTCTCCACGGAACCGGTCCCTGCTGCCCAAAAGGTTGGGGACTCTGCCCTATACCATTTCAGACAAATGGCTGCCCAGTCTCTTCTTAAAAACTTCCAGTGTTGGAGCATTCACAACTTCTGGAGGCAGGTTGTTCCACTGATTAATTGTTCTAACTGTCAGGAAATTTCTCCTTAGTTCTAAGTTGCTTCTCTCTTTGATTAGTTTTCATCCATAGTACTTCAAATGGTTTTCTACACTCTTGCTCAATCTGGTTGGTTGAGCTTTGTGAATTCTTAGCAATGGGCCATACTGCCTGGGGAATTCTAGGAACTGAAGTCCAAACAGCTGGAGTACTTCCAAGTTAGTAGAAGTTAACTTTGGACTTTTAGTTGTCCTTGTTACAGCATGTACTATGTAAAGAGTAACTCCAAGTCAGCTTTAACTCTTACACTGGGATTTAAATTTCACATTTAATCTTACAGGATTGAGTATTCCTCCACTAAAACAAGCAATATCCTTCTGTGTAGAATGTAAGGATATCAGAGGAAAATTTCCCCCAACAACCCAGTGTTCAAGGCAATAAAGCATCCCGTCATCACATACTGCCTGATACAGCCCAGATCCAAAGTTACCCTTTTGCTAAGAAGTAGGCCAGGCACATGCCTCATGTGGAAGGACTTTGGTGGCACTGCCATTACCTATGAAGCTTCAAAAATCACCAATAAATAAATTTGAATAAACAAATAAATGATTTTACTATATTTGTATTTTGTGTTTTATTTTTTCCCTTTTTATTTTATTTGTGTTTTTTTATTCTTGGTCTGATATTTTCATAATATATTTTTCAAGTATGTTGTCTAGAATGAAATTAATAAGTTTGGTTTTTCATTGTTATGATGTGAACTCTTAATAAAATTAGATACGAAATACATTTCCAAATGATTTCATTACCATAAACTGAACGTTGTCGTCGGGTTTGTGCTTGGCAGTTTTGAACACAGCCAGTTGGGTAACTACTAAAATATTATATTCCACATGTCCAGACATCATCTTTCCGCGTATTTCTTGATACTCTGGGACTGACAGATCTATTCCTGTATGGCCATTCTGAAGAGGTCTGCAGAGGTAAAAACATGAATTTCAAAGATGGACCATGCTCTCTTAATGCTGACACTGGCTTTTGCTGACTCATAGGTTTTGAGATTGGGGGGGGGGGGGAGAGAGATATTATCATTTAGAAGTAAAAACTACTGCAGTAACCTGGATAGTTGCCTAATTTGACTGTGGAAATTCCCAGTCATCCAGGTCATGGTTGTCCCAAAGGTGTTTTTTCAAAAGGCAACTGGAAAAAACAAAGTCCAGCTGCCTTTTGAAAAAAACACCTTTGCCTAATTTGACATTTTTAAGAGAGGAAAAAAAGAGAAAATGTGAAGCTATTTTACTTAGGGCATATTTGTCTCTTTGATGCTCCACAATAATACAAAAATAATACTTTCTGCCAATACAAAGCATCTGATCTATTTTTTAAAAAAGATACTGCATATGATAGGTGTCGAAATAGATTTAGTTTCATAGTCACCAGGCAAGATAGGTGACACTAAGGGATAGTGATGCTTTTGTCATTATTCTTCCTTTCCACATAATCAGTATGTACGATCATAGTTGCATGAGGAGGCATTCAGTAAAAACTAAGTAACCGAAAATTTCTAACAACAGCTTTGCATCAGTTCACAACTGTAATGGCAATTGTAATGCTGAGTTAGCTGCACTGGCTTCCATTTCTATTCAAGATGTAATTCAAGGTGCTGATTATCACTTTAAAGCCCAGGTTACTTGTGGGATCACTTTTCTCTGAGGATAACTGTCCGACCAATGAGGTTAGATAGTCGCCTCCTTTAAAAGTTGCCATATGTTGGGACCTAGCAGGTGTGTCTTCTCAATGGCTGCCCCAGACCTTTGGGACAGCCTCCCACTGGAAATTAGTGGGATCCCTACCCTTTTAGTCTTCTGGAAGACTGTGAAGACCTGGTTGTCCCCCCCAAGCACTGAGCTAGAATGGAGGATTGAACTCTACGGAGGTTTGGTCTGGTGCCTGGATGGGGGATGGGTATGTTTTCAGCTATGTTTTATGGATTGTTGTGAGCGGCCTAGTGTGTGAGATAGGATGAAATATAAGTGGAAGGGAAGGGAGGGAGGGAGGGAGGGAGGAAGGAAGGAAGGGAGGAAGGAAGGAAGGAAGGAAGGAAGGAAGGAAGGAAGGAAGGAAGGATCCTATGACCCTCCCAACTCAGGAGTCAAAGTTGAGATAGATTTGGTTAATTTTATGTAAATGTGTTATAAGAACATAAACTTCAGTGGCTATTTAGAGAGCACAGCCCATTCCCTATTTTTCTTAATATTTATTATCAGGTTGTTAAGACAAAAATGATTCAGAACTATTTCATCCAACTCTGTTATGGTCACTTGAAATAATATATTGCATGATCTTGATTTTTTTAAATAGAAATAATTATGTTAGAACTTATAAAGGATAACCCAACAACCATAAATCTGTGTTATACAAAAGAAGCCAAGGCTTATTTTGGGGCTGCATAAACTGACTTCCTTCTGAACATTCATTAAATAAGAAACTGGGAATCAGTAACTAATGTTACTTTCTTAAATCACTTCTTAAGCACAAACTATGTGTTTACCTTCAAGAACCTGCGCCCCCTCCACATACACCTATCTTGTGATACAGAACATTTCCTGTATGGTGCCATTTGGACTGTGAAGTTCTGTTTTCCACGCCTGCACGTTTTAGTATGTCAATGTATGTATTTCACAACTAAGGCCCTTTCATACCAACCTGGTTAGATCTAGTTTGCAGTGGCAAACTTTTGTCCGTGTTGTTGCCAAGATAACTGGCAAAGTTAATTTGTCTGTTTACGCCACCTTATAGTGTGTCCTGAGGACATCATCACCTTAAGCCTGACTACATGTAAAGAAGTTACCTGTATTTTCCATTCCCTTATTTTCTCTCTCTCTCTCTCTCTCTCTCTCTCTCTCCCCTTGAGAGACTGCAAGCTGAAGCTCTCTCCAGCAAATAACAATGGCAGTGCAGTATAAATAGCCACAAGGAAGGAAGGGAACCTAGGGAATTAACCTAAATTTCCTATTCATTTTTGTCTCTATTATAAGCAATGCAGATACAGTATGCATAAATATCAGCCCATTAGTTTAACAGGTTTGTTTATATCCTGCCTTATTTTTCTTCTTCCACCTATTTTCCCCCACAACAACATCCCTGTGAGGTGATTTGGGCTGAGAGAGAGTGACTGGCTCAATGTCAGCAAGCTGGCTTTCATGCCTAAGGCAGGACTAGAACTCCTAGTTCCCTGCTTTCTAGCCTGGTGCCTTAACCATTACCAGGGGTAGGCAACCTCGGCTCTTTTATGACTCATGAACTTCAACTCCCAGAATTCCTGAGTCAGCTGTGCTGACTCAGGAATTCTGGGAGTTGAAGTCCATGAGTCATAAAAGAGCCGAGGTTGCCTACCTCTGCATTAGCCTATATTGGCTCTAGTAGACCAAACTGGCTTCCATATATGATGTATAAGTTTGCAACACATAAAGGAAGTCTGCAGTAGTGGCGAATAAAGGACGTAATTGGACTGAAGTAACTCACAGCTCGGAAGTGGAGAAATCATGACTCTACAAATACTGCAGAGCCTAAATCCCCATCATCCACTGCGATGATGAGGAATGCTGGGAACTGTAGTTCAGCAACCAAAGAAACAGTTTCCTTAAAAGAAATGGTCTCTTGAGCTTGCTAGGACCTCACAGTCACTTTCAGGACAGATTTTTGGGGAAGCACAATAAAAAAAACAACTAGAAAGATGGCAAAGAAAAAAAAGGAGTTGAATTTTAGTAACACCGTTACAATACAACTTTGACTTCATACAAATGAGCACCAGGAGCCTTATTTTTAAGTTATTTTTAAGAAGAAAGGCAACATAAAAATGGCAAAACCTAGAGCTGCAAACTTATTTCTTTTTCTGGCCTTGCACTTTTTAACAGTAACCTGAGAGACCAAAAACTA